GATCACCAGGCAGAAAGGAATATGACTTATGAGAACAGGTGATCAATATATGTGTGTGTGTGTGTGTGTGTGTGTGTGTGTGTACATATATTTATATTTATAAATATATAGAGCTGTCTTTGGAGTTGACAATGGCTATCCTTCTCTGGTGTGGGAGGTCCTTCTGTAGATGTGTTGCTTTTTATTGATAATGAATAAAGAACCTGTCTTGGCCTGTTATAGGGCAGAGTGGAGCTAGGCAGGGAAAACTAAACTGAATGCTTGGAGAAAGGAGATAGAGTTAGGAGATGCCATGCAGCTGCCACTGGAGACAGACACACTGGAAACTTGCTTGTAAGCCACAGTCATGTGGCTAAATACAGATTAATAGATATGGGCTAATTTAAGATATAAGAGCAAACTAGAAATATGCATAAGCTATTAGCTATACCGTATTGCAAATAATATAGTTTATGTGTGGTTATTTTGAGTCTGGGGAGCTGGGAACAAACAAGCAGCCTCCCCCAACACTTCTCTAAATCCGAGCATGTTGTTAGAAGAAAAATTCAGAGTTTCTGTCTCATGTCAGGAGCCATCTAGTATGGGACAGAAAGAATTAAGAAAAAATTTTACTTTTCTCCTTGCCTATTTTGTCTATATCATATCTTTCATTGAATATATATCTATATGAATAATGTGTAAGTTTTCCACAATGAACAGTAGATTTTCCTGCAGTAATCTTTGAAGTTTCCAGGAAGACAATGGGGCTTCACAACCATGACACTACCTGGTTGAGATGACATCATGATGCTGATAGTGCTACTTTAAGACCAGTTTTTGGTACCAGCTGATGAAGTGGTGCACCTTCTTACAATGTTCTGGCCAGAACTCCAAATGAGAACTTTAGAAAAACCCTATTGACTACTCAGAGATCATTTGAAATTATACAAGACAATAATTTTGAAACTTAACCATTGTTTTACTTTTACAGGATCCCATAGAAAGAACATCGCCCCCATGACAGCTGGAAGCAATTCTAGAAGACAATGTCCCATCGCCCAACAAAGTTTGTCCTTAGAGTTATGGACACCATTTAGCGGTTGATTATTACTTGTATAGGGTTGGTGGTTGGGGTGGATGTTATGTAAGCCCAGAAATCTCCTTGAAAAAAAAAAAGGGAAAATTCAATGGGATACTAGGTAGATTAATGTGAACTTACTCACACTAATAATAATAATATTGAGTAGTAGATTGAATACTTGTGAGACATTATTTATGAACAATTTACATTGGCATAGATTCTTGTATATTGATACAAGTTCAAATTATATTTGTTTTATTGAATATGCTCCTATTTCTGTTTACAATATTTGTACACCCATGCAAAGTTATTTTGTTAGATTATATGAATGCATATTTTTACCTCTGTTTAAGACATTTTATATGCTGATACAATTTTTAGGATATGCTTATCATATTGCATTATATATTTCTACCTCTGATCAAGATACTTATACATTGTTTACATTTTGAGGTCATTGTCCTCATTTACTGCACAGTTGTTTAAAAAATTGCTTAATATTCTAATATGAAGTCTTAGTCTTTGAGTTATATAAGCATTAAGTATTATAGGTCAATAGTCATTCATGTTTGTTAAACTTATACTCAGATTAATTAGGTTATTTAGATACATAGAGATTGTATTCTACATAAATAGGTAATCTTCAACCACTTCAACGATTTGTAGAATGTGGCATTTAAATAACTTAGGGTTCTGTTGATGTGAGACACCATCGCTCCTGGCAGCACGAATTATTCCCGAGAGAATGTTGAGCACCAGAGACACTCCACTTGGAGTTTGTTTTCTTCTTGGCAGAACTGGTCTTTGGGCAAGGAACTACCCATGCGTCGACCACTAACAAAGTGCATGGTGTCCTGACTGGACAAGCAGGACACAAGAGAAAAGACTTCCAAACCTTGCCAAGACAGGATAAGATAGTTCTGAAAATTTTCCTGCCTTGGAAAATGGTCCGTCAGCTACTCTAGCTCTTGCAAATGAGATTTTGTGTGATTGCTCAGGTATCCAGTTGTCTCTGTCATATACTGAACATTTTGGAAGCGGCTTGATTGCACTTCCTGCCTACTCAAGTAATATTATTTCCCTTCTCAGGCCTTTGAAGGGGTTGAAGATTAGATAATCATAGTTACCTTTCTCTTATGATTTAGCCAAGCCATTTCCAATGCAAGACTTAGACTCCTTAGGATAAAATGTTTATTAAAACATTTAGCATATGTTCTTTGGTTAATATTGTTTATCCTGGTTATAATTATAATTTTATACTTGATATCTGTTCCTGGTGTATACAGTTTTGTATTGGGTTTGGAACTCTCTTATTTAGACAAATGGGGAAGGTGATGGGAAACCTCCTTCAGTCAGTGACATGAAACTGCTTTGGATCTATATCAGGGTAGAACTTGGCTAGGTAGGGAAAACTAAGCTGAATGTTGGGAGAAAGAAGGGCAGAATCAGAGAGAAGTCATGGAGCTTCCAGAGACAGGTGCTGGGAACCTTACCCAGTAAGCCGCAGCCACGTGGCAATATACAGATTAATAGAAATGGGTTAAATTAATATAAGAGTTGGCCAATAAGAAGCTAGAGCTAATGAGCCAAGCAGTGATTTAATTAATACAGTTTCTGTGTGATTATTTCAGGTCTAAGCTAGCCCGGCAGCCGGAAACCAGCAAGTGACCTTCCTCCAACATTTAAGTGGCTGGACCACGTGGGGGCATGACTTTTTGGGTATACAGATAAAACCACTAGCCTGCCCAGCTCTCACTCTCTGTCTCTTTTTTAAAAAAAATATTTATTTATTTATTTATTTATTTATTATGTATACAGTAAGTCAGAAGAGGGCACCAGATTTCATTACAGATGGTTGTAGGCCACCATGTGGATGCTGGGAATTGAACTCAGGACCTTTGGAAGAGCAGGCAATGCTCTTAACCGCTGAGCCATCTCTCCAGCCCCTTACTCTCTCTTGTTCCCATGTTCCACACCTTGAGGTTGGACCCATGTCCTGTTCTGTGAATTTTTCCCTTACATTAAAGAATAGCCTTGGAATATTTTGGAGTTATCTTGGGATTATTTGACTCACATCCTCCCCACCTCTGCCTGCCTTTACGCGTTCAGCTTTAAGGTTCAACATCAGTTTCACCAAGCTGAAATCAAAGGAGAAACCATACCTTGTACTAGAAACATAGTCAAATACCTAGGGCCAGTGAAGTCATTGATCATGGAGAAGAACCTATAACTGCCACTTTTCTAAACCAGCACAATTCCTAACTACAGTTCAAATATTTATCTTTATACCCACAGAGAAGTATAGGTCTCCCTCATTAAAGAAATGTTTCCTTGTAACAGATGGAGATCATCACAGAAAACCACAATCAATCAAATTGCAGAGAACAAGCGACCATGTGGTGTCCAGTCCCAACTGAAACATCTACAATGTAACTCCTGTGCCTAAGATTCTGGGGGGGGGGGCATAGTGGAAGAGAGGGGGCGGAAAGACTGTAAGAGTCCGTGGAACAGGAAATTTGATGTGAAATTGCATCTCCTAGGAATGTAATAGAATAGATGCTTCACCTATGAAGTCCCATCAACGTGCTGACTGAACAAGGGCAGCATGGATAATGTGCTACTATGGAAGGCAGAAATATTCTGGGGCCTCAACCATAGACAAAGAAATACTGAGGGAGAAATGGTCTGTCCCAGCGAAGAGCTCACAGATTAGTTATCCAACACCAAGTGGTCAGAGCTGAAATCAAATCATACAAATACCATCATATGGACTGAGAGGGTTGTATTTATATATTTAGGAGGGTGTGTGTGTGTAAAACAACAAAGAAAGACCATGAATTTGAGAGAGAGAGAGAGAGAGAGAGAGAGAGAGAGAGAGCGCATGGGACAGGTAACAAGGGAAAAGTTACAGGGTGGAAGGGAAGGGGGTAATGATGTAATTATATTTTAATTTCAAAATAAAAGTTTTAAATGTGATGTATAAATACAGTGGAATTTTTTGGTCCGTAAAGAACAATATTTTATCATTTGCAGGAAAATGGATACAAGTGAAGATAATAGTATTAAGCAAGTTAAGACAGTCTCAGGCAAATATTGTATGTTTTCTCTCACTCCTGGTTCCTAGGTTCTATATAAATATATAAAATCAGTTATGTATATATGACATAAAAGCAGAAATAAAGCTTTTTAGGGCAAGAAAGGGAACTATCAGGAGGGTAGAGGGGCAGGAAGAGGGAGATTGAGGTTATAGGGTGGATATGTTAAGCATATAATATATACTTGTATAAAAACTTTAAAAATAAGGATCCTAAGAAAGACATATATGGATCTAATTTACGTGGGAGGTAGAAAAAGACAAGATGTCCTGAGTACATTGGGAGCATGGGGACCATGGGAGAGGGCAGAAGAGGAGGAGAGAGAAAGGGAAGGGAGCGGAGAAAAACCATGTAGCTCAATAAAAACAACTAAAATAAATAAATAAATTTTTTAAAAAACAGGAAAAGTAATAAAAGTAAGTAAAACACAATAGAAAATTTAGAAGATAATGAAATAAGCTAACATTGCTCACAATGAGTGTGTACAGGATAGCCTAATTTAAAGTGAGTACAGCTGGACATGGTGTCACACACCTTTAATGCCAGCATCATGGAATGGAGGCAAAGGGATCTTTAGGCCATCCAAGGCTGCATAGTAAGACCCTGTTTCTAAAGATTAGATTGAGTGCAAAGATTTGCAACCAGATTTAACCAGGAAAGAGGTGCTGTGTCTCGTGTGGAAGCGATGCTCCCTCCTTTCAAGAAGATGTAAACTGAACTCGGGCCGCTCATTTGAAAACTGCCAAGTTTCCTCACTCTAAAAGGACCTGATTCACTCTCTGAGGTCAGACCTTAGCTTGCTAATCTGCCACGACAGAGACTCTTCTTGAGTCCTTATCAGCCTTCCTCAGTGGGTCAGTGTTGTGAAGGCTGAGGAGTCTGGCAGAGTTCCTGTTCCTCCCAGGCAGATATCACAGGGCAGCAGGGCCCTCAACAGCAGGCAAACATTCTTCCCAGAGCCAGATGAGGAGCTGAAGCCGCCAGGGGAAACAAGAGTACCAGGTAAAAAACTGTTTTTCTAAATCTCATCAGTATTTTGGGCACAGTTCAGGTCTGAGAGGAGGAAAGTTGGGTATAGGTAATAGTCAAGGAGATATTTGTTAAGGAAAATGAGTGAGAGATTCTCAAACTTGTGGGAAGGATGCTCAGTCGGATCTAGAATCTCAGAACACTTAGTCATCTCATGTACTTGTGAGCATCCAAATAACATCCATGAGACTTGGGGTTATGAGACTACATACTGTGATGGTCTCAGTAAGGTTTGTCGTGTAGATCCCACCAATGAAAGTGACCAGGAAAGCAAACTGAGAATAAGGAAGCCATTTCTAACAGAACTTCAGAAAATGGAATGAAATTGCTCTGGACTGCATGCAGTCTCTGCAGGACCTCTGTGTGCAGACGGCATATGGGCACTCTTGCACAGCGAAAGACCACTTGCTTCAGTTAATAAGTAAATATTCTGCGTTATAGTTAATAATGGCCTTTCTGAAATATATTCTTCAGAGCTCTAATTTTAAGTTAGATGGCTATTCTCTAGTCTTAAAACAAAAGGTTGTTGGTCACAATTTAGAAACCAGACTCCAAAGGCTTAGGCTCTTTTCCAAATCTTAGAGGCTTTACACTACAAGGCCAAACTAGAAGGGAAGGCAAACCTCTGCCTCACGTCACACTGTTCGTAATTTAGAAGACGTGCAAAGAACTAAAGCAATTTCAGCATTTGGTTTTGATTGGCATTCTTTCGAGAGTAAATTAAGGTCTTTAAAACTTTTAAAATACCATATAAAATATCAAATCTTATGAGTTGTATACTTTTTGTTTCTTTGTTGCTGTTGTTTCTAAGATTTATTTATTATGTATACAGTGTTCTGCATGCCTGCAGGCCAGAAGAGAGCACTAGATCTCATTAAAGGTGATTGTGAACCACTATATGGTGGCTGGGAATTGAACTCAGGACTTCCGGAAGAGCAGCCAGTGCTCTTGACCTCTGAGCCATCTCTCCAGCCTCTACTTTTTGTTTGGTTTGCCTGTCGGAGACAGGGTCTCATGTAATCTAGGCTGGCACTGAACTTACTATAGCCAAGAAAGACTTTGAGCTGCTGACCCACCTGCCTCTATCTCCTGTTGGGATTACAGTTGTGTTGGGATTACAGTTGTGTTGGGATTACAGTTGTGTTGGGATTATAGTTGTGTTAGGATTACAGTTGTGTTGCGATTACAGTTGTGCACCCATACATCTGGCCTCAAATTCTTCATCCACCTACATCAGCCTTCTGAGTGCTAGGATTATAGGCATGTGCTACCATGTCTACCTTGATGCTTATTTTTATATCAAGACCTACCACACACAACCCAGACTCCACTTCCTTTGTTTTCCACTGCTTCTTCTCTTCCTCTTTGAGTTATGACTAGAGCCCCTGACTTCAGCTTCTATTTCTGCACATTTTTTAACTTCTCACTTAGCTCCTGCACTAACCAATGCTCCTTATATCTGGACTCAGTGTTGGTGCATCCCAAATTTAAGTGGAGTGGGCTGAAATCTTCAGCAACTTATTTTTTTTCCAATATGGAAATCTATTAAATATTCATTTTTCAATCTATGGCTTCTCTTGTTGAAAGTTCTATTTGGCAAAGTTATTTTTTTTTAAAAAAAAAACAATGCTGTCAAGGATTATTTCCCCAAAGCTGGGATCAGTGGAACAGGTCTGTAATCCCAGTTTTTCAGTCAGCAGGGACCCAGCTAAAAATGGTGAGTGAAGGGAAGGTTGGGGATGTAACTCAGTGGGAGAGCACTTGCTGAGCATGGAAAAGGTGAGGGTTCAATTCCCAGTCCCACTAAAGTATCTTTTGAAAGATTATATTCAGTGTTAAAATGTATCTCCAACAATGTAGAGCCTTGGAGGAAATATTAGCACCTCTGAACTTCCCACTAATACAAAAATATTTCTGTCCTCATTATTTGTAGGAATACCTTTCTGTTATTGCTGGGAGTGTAAAAAATGCCCTATGCTGAGATCACCATAAATTTGGGCAAAGTGACTTTGGGAGAAGAGAACAGGAAGAAAATGACCAATAATTGCCTGAAAAGACAAGAGAACTCGAGTGTCATCCAGGCTGTCTGTGCACTGCTGAATTCTGGAGGAGGCGTGATCAAAGCAGATATCAATGACGAAAACTATAGTTACCGGTGCCATGGGCTGGGACAGGATCTGGAAACTTCCTTTCAAAAGCTCCTTCCGACAGGTTCACAGAAACACCTTGACTGTATGCAACAGAACCACCACTTCCTGATTTTTGTAAAGTCCTGGAGCCCAGATGCCTCCAGCCTTCCGCTGAAGATTTGTAGCTTACGCTCCAACTTATACCAGAGAGATGTGACCTCTGCCATCAACCTGAGTGCCAGCAGTGCCCTGGAGCTTCTCAAAGAGAAAGAGTCTAGAGCCCAAAGAGGTGTCCCCAGTTTGCAGTCTCAGGAATGCACCCTCAACAGATCCATCCAGGAAGAAGAAGATATTAAGGTGTGTGCCTCAGAATTTTTCAAAAAAGATAAACTCAATTATAAGGAGAGGCTTAACTTCACAGAGTCAACACACGTGGAGTTTAAAAGGTTCACCACCAAAAAGATTGTCCCTCGGATTAAAGAGACGCTGGCTCATTACGTCTCCGCATTTGCCAACACTCAAGGGGGATATGTAATTATTGGGGTTGATGATAAGAGCAAAGAAGTGTTTGGATGTAAGAAAGAAAAAATGAACCCGGAATTACTAAAAATAGAAATAAAAAACTGCATAGAAAAGTTGCCCACATACCACTTCTGTCGTGAAAAGCCCAAGGTGAATTTCACAGCCAAAATTGTGAAGGTTTACCAAAAAGAGGCCCTGTATGGTTATGTCTGTGTGGTGCAAGTAGAGCCCTTCTGCTGCGTCGTGTTTGCTGAGGACCCAGACTCCTGGATCGTGAAGGACAATGTTGTCAAAAGACTGGCGGCTCAGCAATGGGTGGGCATGATGCTGGGTCTTCAGCCAGGTAAAGAAAAGATGGAAGGCATCGCCGAGGCTGTGAACCCTCTTCTTCACCTTTTGAGGGCGTTCTGTCATGTAGTTTAGCTTTAACAACCAGAAATAAACTTTTGTTTACAGATGCACTCCCACAAGAGTGTTCTTTTCCTAAGGGCTTAGTTCCAAAGACTCAGAGTTGCTTTGAAATTGAATGAAAGAAAGAAAAAAGAAAGAAAGGAAGGAAGGAAAGAAAGAACGAAGGAATAAATAAATTTGGATTTCAGTCTTTTGGGGGCAAGTTATCATATAGCTTCAGCCATGAATTAGTGAGTTCCTTTTCTGTGCTGTAAAAGCCTGTTGACAAAAGTTGGCTGATTTTCCTCATGTCCATGGAATAGTTTCACTGGAAAAATAATCTTTAGAGGACATCATTTAAATATGACACTACACTAAGTATTTGGAGGGAAATTCTCTCTCTCTCTCTCTCTCTGTGTGTGTGTGTGTGTGTGTGTGTGTGAGAGAGAGAGAGAGAGAGAGAGAGAGAGAGAGAGAGAGATAAAATGTGTGACAAATTTGAACCATTTCAGTAAATCTAGAAGCATATATCTTAACCTCTGAGGCACTACACCACGGGAGGAATGAGGCAAGAGCAGATAGATACTCCGGGTAGTGACCACGCTGAGGGAGGAAGACCGCTGGTGGTTGTACTTCCCTTACATCTTGTTTGGCAGTCAGCCTTGGTGCTTCCTATTCAACCCAGAAAAGACCTAAAAATAAGTTCATTTACTTGCTTGCAGGATCAGATGCTCCCGATTTAATGAAATACCTTACATCACTGGATACAGAAGACAGTCGTTACAGACGTCTTGGCATCATCCCTTGTCTTTTCCTAATTTTGTCTGATCTATTTCCTCATCTCTCCAGGGAGATCCTTCCCCTTTCAATTCCTTATTACGTTGGATGGAAATTAAAGGCAACTGTAACCACCAGTTACAGCCTGTGCTGCCCTCTTTGACCACAGGACTGCTCCCAGCCAGCGGGGCTTTCTTCTTTCCTCCACTGCTCCTGCAGGTGGCCACCAAGTGTACAGCCTGCTTGCATTATTGTGTTTTCTCTCACTGTCCTAGAGCTTCGAATAACAGCTGTGCTTCGTGTGACTTTGGCTGCATCTAGCTTCCCTTTCTTCTAACAGGTGACCTGGCATCAGGGTTTTAGAGTGGGAAGGAAGCTCAGGGACCATCACCTCCTGAGAGACAGGAGAAATGGCACTGGTTTGAGTTACCCAGGGAGGCACACTCCTGGAGAGCCACAGAGCAGTTCCCAGCTTCTTTTCCTGCCGTGAACAGCTGGGTGAGACAGCGTAGCGCCTCGTACCTGGTTCTCGTAGAAAGAACAACTGCAAAGTTCTTCCACGTTTGAGTTTTCATTTTACCTGAGACCACTTTGTATACTTGCTTAGATCCTTCCAGTTTGCCCACCACTGATCCCAGTGCTCACCCGATCTCATCAGGTTTGTCTGCACCAAGAAGGCCAGCGCATCTCAGCAAAGTCCTGGAATATAAGGAGGCTCTGCAGCGCCGTTTGTTTCCAGGTACGCCTGTTTGGCTTTTGAGACAGTATCTTACTATGCAGTCTAGCCCAGGTTCCCTCTTCATTTCAGCCGAGGGGATTATCTTTATACAAAAAAGCATAGCTCAGTGGTAGAGTGCTTGCCTAGCATAGGCAAGGTCTTGAGTGTGATACCCAGCTTTGAAAAAAGAATTAAGTTGGGAGGAATTGATAGCAAGTAATTCAAATCTTTTTTCTTAGAGAAGGTCAAATGTAAGACCTACCAGACATAATGGTCCTACAATCACACACACACACACACACACACACACACACACACACACACACACAGAGAGAGAGAGAGAGAGAGAGAGAGACAGACAGACAGACAGACAGACAGACAGACAGACAGACAGAAGTCTTAAATCCTAGTCCTCAATCTCCATCAATCTTCTATCTGTATTGATTTCAAACCACCTATGTCTTTTAGTCTTCAAAATGGAAAGTGCTAGAGTTCTCTTTGCAACAGGAAAACCATGGTTCTGAGACTAGAGTTGTCCTTTTCTGTCAGGTTGCAAGAACAGTCGTAGGCTTTGTTTTCAAGTTTTGGTAACTTCTATTCCTTCACTTTTCAGTGACAGAGGCAAACCTGCAGTTTCAGCCAGAATCCCTCTGTAAGAAGCTGTTCTCAGATCATCATGGACTGGAGGACTTACTGAAGGCACAGATACATCCTTGTTCTCATGGGATTGTGATAGTTTCTAGAAGCTGGGCTGGTGATATTGGTTTAACGAAAGAGCAGAAGGTCCTGTGCGATGCTCTCCTGGTAGCAGTCAACAGCCCGCTGGTACTCTACACAATCCTAACAGACCCGAGTTGGAACGGAGGATCTGACTATGCCCAAAACACTGCTCTTCAGTTAAAGCAGCAGCTACAAACCCTTGGCGGCTACTCAGGGAAAGTGTGCATCATTCCAAGGCAGATATGCCTGAGCAGCAGAGGGCTCAGACCTGATCAGTCCCTTGTGTGCTACCCCCGATCCTACACACTGTCTAGTCAGACAGAAGTGGAAGATGTGCTGCAAGCCCTTGTGGTGGTCTCATTGTGCTCCAGGTCCGTGCTGAGTGATCAGCTGGGCTGTGAATTTTTCAAACATCGTATAGAGGAGCAATGCCACTCACTTTCTGAGAGCCTCCGGGAAACCCGGGAGCTGTACATCCATTGCTTTCCAGGAGCCAGGAAGACACCTCTAGCCATGAAGATCACGGAGAAAATCAAGGATGTGTTCCACTGCAAGCCAAAGGAGATTCTCTATGTTTGTGAGAATGACTCCCTCAGGGAGTTTGTGAAGTGAGAATTTTACCATCTAAACTTCAGGGGGTGGGGGGAAGGCTTTCATCACAGTCACAAAAGGAATTTGTTTCGAGGTTAAGGTTTGGCACTTTTTTTTTTTTCACCGTGCAAGTATGGAAGCCTGAGTAAACACAGATGTCCAAACGTGGTTGAGCTTTAAAATCGGTAACTTATCATATTCAACCCCAAATAGGCTAAGGATGCTTGTCATTAGTTTATTTGTTTGAGACAGTCTTTCTCTTAAACTCAATCCTCCTGCGTCAACTTCCTGAGCACTGAGATGAAAGAGATACACTACCATGCCCAAACATGACTAATTCATAGTAGATACATGTTCACACGATCTGTGTTCTCAGATCTAAGAAAAGTAGAAACGAACCTGTTTTACTTTAAGTAACTTTTTGCTGGATAGTTAGTGTTTTGGTTATACAATTAGTCACTATATTTAGCTGGAAGTTAAATGCAAATACAATTTAATTTTGTCTATAAAATATTCACATATTTGAGTTGTTTTGCACCAGTAATTTAAGAAAATATTAATTCTCTAGCTTTCAGTGTAGTAAATAAGTTGTATATTGCACAGTTTAGCAAAGATGGAAAATTCATACTATTTCTTTTGGTTTTAATTATTCAAAAAATATTTTTGATCAGTATTTACATTAGATGCTATTAAGTAGAATGTCAGAGAAAAAAACAATGAAGACTTTACAAAATAAACAACGCAAGTGTTGTGTTATTGGTATCATAATAAAGATCTTCCTCTTTATTATGTCGGTCAACAAATACTCTCCAGAGAAGGAGACTCTTGGCCATACTAAATCATTAGGAAGCCAGGTGTGAGAGCGCATGCCCGTAATGCCAGCACTCAGGAGACTGAAGCAAGGAGACTGAGAGTTTGAGGCCAACCCTGCCTATAACAGTGAGACCCTGTATCAAAAACAATCAGCAAACGATAAACAGTAGGAGAAGTGAATGAGATGGGGAGGGGCCTTCTAGGCAAAGGGCACACAGCAGGTCAAAAGCAGTGAGAAATAAGATCTAACTGGAGTGGAGCCAGAGTATGGACACGTGGAAAATGGTGATGCTGGAATGTTTACAGGTGCTAGACTAACATTATGCAGATCTGTAACTAATTTTTTTAAATGTCCCAGCTAAAACCCCAATGCCAAATACCTATCAAGCTCCTAATGTGAGGAAGATATGGAGACAGCTAAAAATCAATGCTTTTCCCCAAGAGCCACAGGGGCCAAGCTAGAAGAGAGTGGACGTAGTTACAAGTCACGGCTCAGAGAGCAAAGCCCCAGGAACTGTATCCTCAGTCCTGTATGAGGGACCCTGTTGGATCCTTAGAGAAGGCAGGAAGCCAGCAGACCTGAGAAGCGTGTTTGTGTAGCCCAGCACACGTGCATGCTTCAGTGTACCACAGCATATGTGCATGATACAATGTAGCACAAAGGGAAATGGACTAGAGAGGAAGCCCTGTGGGCTTTCTTTTCCTTCCTTTCTTTCTTCCTCCCTCCCTCCCTCCTCCCTCCCTCCACCGCCCCCCCAATATCTTCTCAGCAACTGGTGTTTTTCTTACCAAAAACTCAAAAGAGTTTCTGATTTTTATAAGACAAACAAAGGAAAAGACCTTGCTTTACACAGAATTTGAATTAGCACATACCTCTTCTGCATGTATGGACTACGATATGCCTCTAGGAGACTGTTTCCTAATCCTAAGAGGACTCGTTAAAGAAGTAGGAACAGGCATGAGTTACTTTTGAGATTTCATTTAACTGTAGTAATCTTGTCTTCCCCTGCCAAGCATCACAACTGGACCAGTAGAAATAGCAAGATTTCCTAACTTTTTTTTTTTTAGATCAAGTATTGCTATGCAGGCTAGGTTGGCCTATAGTCATTATGTAGTCCAGGCTGGCCTTGGACTCAGGATCCCCAGCCTCCTGAGGGATGGGATTATAGGCACAAACCACTTGACTGTCCAACTACTTCATAGTAAAATTTCAAATGAAGATTTAACTAAAATATCCCCAAACTGTATTCTATCTGTTGGGTACCTTGGAAGTAGAGTGGTTTCGTTGTGCTACCTCTATTAGTGAATCGATCTGCGAAGAAGAATGAACCTCTATTTCCAATCCAGAGAGTAGGGAGAGCTTTTGTTATCTTTGTTGAAATGCCTGAAACCATGGTTTCTCTTTTATGGTTACAGCCAACAAGTCGCTTGCCAAGTTGTGACCCAGGGGACCTTCATGAGAGAAGAGTTCCCAAAGATTAAACACATAGTGGTGGATGCGCCTGAGGATTTCTGTAGGAGACACGGGGACTGGTACGTGAAGGCCAAGAGCATCACCCATCCAAGAACAAAGCGGGCTGCAAGTGACAGCCGTCACCATGGGATCCTCTGGCTTTTTCTGGATCCTTTCCAAACCCATCCTGCAGACGTTAGTGGCCTTCCTGCTCCTTCTGCTCAGTTTCCTCGGAAAGCGATCACTGAGATCCACTGTGCTGTGGAAATAGCTAACATCATAAACGAGGAAATGAAGAGGATCCGAGAAAATCCTCCCTCCCACATATCTCCAGACATGCTGGCCGTGCTCCAGGAGGCTCCCTACGGGAAAGCGATGCCTGCCCAGGCTCTGCCTGGTGTGTGTGAGATCAAGGCTAACCTGACACTAGAAGAGATGGCTGACTATGTGGCAGGGAAATGTCACAGCCTGTTCCACGATGGCTATCTGCCCGAAGATGTTGCAGTTCTGTACCGGAGCAGGGAAGACGGAGGACAGTGTAAGGATGCGTTGCAGTACAAGGATGCGCTGCTCAGAGCGATGGCCCGCAGAGCGGCAGAGGTTGAGCTCTGCAGCGCTGCTGACGTTTGTAGCGATGGCGTCATTTTAGACAGCGTTCAGCAGTTTTCAGGCATGGTAAGGAAGATTGTGTTTGGGCTTAGTCCCGAAGTCGTGCAGTCAGAGGGGGTCCATAAACTCTGCTTTGCCTCGAAAGCCGTGACACATCTCTACTTGCTCTACGGAAGGAGGACAGCGTCCTGGTGACTATTGTAATTAACACAGGAAGCCGGACAAGAGCAATCTCTCCTCCCAGATGGGAGATGGGTGGTAGCTACTTCCTTTTTAATATTACAAGTGGAGAAATGAAGGCACATCGCTATGGCCTGGAGTCACGGCCTCCCCTCACCCCTGGGGAGGGCTGTATCGCTCTGCCAGTGGTGGCTGTGCTCTTTGCTCCATCTACTTCTCTTTCCTGGACAGTGACAAGCTAGTTTGATTCCCTGCCTCCAGTCTTCCTAACTCAATCCAGCTCTTATTCTGTCATCCAAGGATCCTAAAATAGAAAACGAATTTTATGAAATTCTCTGCTCTGGGGAGTTCTTGTAGCCTTCAAATGGAATGCGTTTCCAAGGCTTTCTATGGTGCTGGCTTCCTCTCCTGGCTCCATCCTGGATCATGCCTCCATCTCCCAGCGTTTCTAATGCACTCCAGGCTTGTAGCCATGTTGGGAGTGATGGTCGGATATCCTTTAGACCGGTTACTTGGACTGGGCATCTTGAGAGCAGCACCTAGGCTAGACTAGCATCTCAGACTGTCTCTGGGGCTCCAGCTTCACAGGGGCAAACTTGATTTCCTTTCCTCACAAAGTGCGGAGTAGTGTCTTGGGGTTGACGCTGTTAACCAAGGTCACAGCAGACAAAGACGTGAGTGTAAGTGCCACTCTGTTCGTTTAGAATGTACGCTGTGGTAATCAGTGGGCTAGGGGTGTTTGGCTAATTTACACATGCATCAAGAATATAGGAAGCTAAGTGATGTGAGCAGAGCCCTATAGTAAGAATCACTCTCTCCTCTTTTTCTCCCTTAATATGATAGATAATGCAATTAGTGTAATAAAACAACCAAGATAAATAGTTGCTTGTGGTGTGAAGCTCCTAAAACATTGTTAAAAGAGAGCAACAGAATATGATCATATCAGCTTGAGGAATGGAAAAATGAAAATAAAAACCTCCTAAACATCTCTTGATCTGGTGCATTTTTTCATTTTTGCTTATTTCTATTCCTTTAAGATATGTTACACACATTGCAAGTTCTGCAATTAACTTTCTATTCTATATGGCTGCTTCTTCCATTTAATTTTTTGCAAAGCATTGCTACAGTGCTACTGTGCCTAATACTTCACATTCATCTTTAATTCTTCCCTTTGCATATCCTAACAGTAGAGCTAGATATTGAAAACTGGTATAGCTACTCTGGAAATCAGTGTGGAGAATTCTCAAATAGCTAAAAATAAATCTACCAGCGAGACACGCCTGGGGCATATTCTCAAAGGACTTGACATCACACTCCACTGTGAACACGCTCAGCCGCACTCATTGACATCACACTCCACTGTAAACACGCTCAGCCATGCCCATTTCCTCTGTATTCACAACAGCTAGGAAACAACCTAAATGACCTTCAAAACTGAATGAATAACGAAAAGGGACATGTATACAAAGGAATTCTACTCAGCTGCAAAGAAAAATGAAGTCATGAATTTTGTAGGTAAATGGATGGAACTAGACCATATGCCAAGTGAAGTAATCCAGACCCAGAAAGACAAATGCCACATGTTCTTTCTTATCTGTGGTCTTTAGCTCAGAATCTTTAGACAAGAGTAACCCCAGAAACCAGGGAAGTAAAAAGGGAGCAATTCAGGGGAGCTCTAGATTGGCACAGTGCTATGAAGCAGAAAACAGGGAAATTGGAGTGGGGCTTTAGCCAGGGAGAGGGAAGGTAAGCAATACAGAGG